GGAGAGCAATTTGGGGTTAATATCTTGCCCAAGGATATTTGGCATGCAGACTAGGGGAAGCCAGGAATCGAACCACCAACCTTCCGATCAGTAGATGACCTGCTTTACCGCCTGAGCCTGAGCCACCCCATCTATCATATGTGAGACCTGACCTTTACCTCCTACACTCATCTGTGTTCCTCTTTCTCTCCACAGCAAAGTGAAGAATCGAAAGTTGTACCTTGCGACACTTGCCTCTGTTCTGGGTCCCATGAGCTTCGGGTTCGTGCTGGGATACAGCTCTCCCGCCATCCCCGAACTCACCAAGATTGAGGACTCTCGGCTGAGACTGGACGATAACCAGGCTTCCTGGTTTGGGGTATGATGACAGCCATGTTCATTTCGTATTGCACCAGGCAATTTTAACAGCAGATTTGTGTGACATCTCATTTCATAAAACACATCCTGTAAAAAAGACACGAAAGAAAGAGCCGGATGAAATTAAAATGTGTTGACTGTATGTTTAAAATTAATCATTTTAGCACATTTTAAGCCAGGCTTCAATAATCATGGTCACAACAGTTTATGACATAAAACGGTGGAAGAGTCACTGAAGGAACAACTTAATATACTGATCAGCCACAACACTGAAGCCATGTGCCTAGTGGTTTGTAGGTTCCCTTCTTGGTAACCCAGTGGTAACATTTCGGCCGCCTCCATGTTTGTGTTTTTTTTGAGCCAGAAGTGACCACACTTGGACGAGAGGCTGGATTGTTTAGTGTAATTGTTTAAAATAATAGAAGCTGGCATCCATAACAGTCACAACACTAACGCTAAGCCTTAAGACAATCACACCGTTGAGTGGCTATAAAAGAAGTCACCTCCTGTATAACAGTTGATAAATGAAACTAGCCATAGAGACCCCAAAAGGTTGATTCTTTTCATCTGGACGAAGCAATTTCAATGGGAGAATCTTTTCATCACTCCTTCAGTCTCAGCTGACTGCAGGTTTCCCCAACCTGCAGTCAGCTTTGTGTGTATACGTGTTAAAGGTAACATCTTCATGAATGGCAGTACCTAAGGTTTGCCTCCAGTATACTGTAATCTTCTTCTTCTTTTCACTGCTCCCTTTATGGGTTGCCACAGTAGATCATCTGCCTCCATCTCACCCTATCACATCAACCGTCTGCATGTTCTCCTTTACTATGTTCATGAATCTTCCTATTTTTCTCCTGCCTGGGAGCCTAATCCTCAACATCATTTGCCCAGTTTATTAGGCTACTATCCCACTTCTGCAAATGCCCAAATTATCGTAGCGTTGCCTCTCGAACTTTGTCTCCAAAACACTTAACCTGAGGTTTCCCTCTGATGCACTCATTTCAAGTCCCGTCCACTGTAATGAGAGGATCTGTGTAATTTTTGCCCTTTTAATGTTGGATATAAAGAGTATATGCACCCTTTAAAGCCAAGCTGTCTGTTTTAAAATAGGTTGAAAGTAGAGCTGGGCGATATATCGAGTTTTTAAAAAATATCGATATATTTTTATACGAGATATAAGATGTGGCAATATCCTTTATATCGATATAGTCT